ATCCCTGCGCTGCGCGTGTGCGCGCCGCCGCGCTCGAGGGGGACGTGCCCCTTGCTCCCAGCCGCGGGGAGCAGGCTGCGGTGGCGGGGAGCAGGGCGCGCCGGCGGCTCCGGCGGGGGACCTGCCCGGGAGGCCCTGGACGCCGGCCCCGCAGGGAGAGGGATGCGCCGCCTCCCCGCAGAGCGCGCCCCCTCCCGGCGTGGGGTTCCGGCCCTGCCGCCCTGCTCCGCGGATCGCTCGCAAGGGAGCCGCAGCGCGCAGGGTGCGGTGCGCGCAGAGCCCGGCCCTTTCCTCCTCCTGCGCGGTGTGTCTCGGGCGCCGGGAGGCTCCTCGCTGCAGGCTGGCCCTTCCCCTTCCTCGCCCCGTCCTTCCTCGCGTGCAGGCAGCGGAAGTCAACCGACCAAGGGAAAAGAGGGCTTAGCCGGCTAGTGCGCGCGGTGCGGGGGTGGGGGGGCAATGGGAACATGGACGCAGTCTCCCAACGCATTTTAAGTGTCTTTTAAGTTTTCAGTGTAGGCTATTTGCCTTTTCCTTGAGTTAATGTGATGGGGGGGGGGGGCAGATCTTTGGACCCTACTAAAATATGCCTCCCCTTCCCCCCATGCTTGGCCCTTGTCGGATCCAGCTGTCTCCACGTGATGCAACATCTCCTGGCATAGTGCCAGGCCAATCTCAGCACCTAATTTTAACACCATGAAAAGCATAAGGGTCAGTATTTTTGCACTCATGCTGTGCTGAAAGGCATGGGAGCAGGGTCCAGCAAGGAATATAAAGAGGCTCCCTGAGGCTGGATAGGGCAACCTGGCAACTATTGGGCACTTTATGATGCAATTCCCAGTATGGTCACGGATAACTGCCCCATCTCACCATTTTCCCCTCTTGCAATGAACTGAAGGCAGCTTCCATCTGAGCTGGTTTTAGGGGGCAGCCCAAGAGGGGTGGACCCTGAACCTGTGGGGTGGTCCCTGCCCCACCATCCTGCTTCCCAGGGGCACTTGCAGAAATGAACGTCCAGAAGTCCAGCAGGTCTCTATGCAAGGGATCCCCCCGGACGAGCCCCCTTCGCCGTTTCCCTTCCTGATGCCCCCACTCCAAATTTTTAGGCTGGGGTTTTCCCTTCCAAATCAAATGCCCTTCTGCCCCACCCCGCCCTGCCCCTCCCCACATATAGGGGTGTCCTTTGGTGACAGGATCACTGCAGGACAGCACCACAGAGCTGAGGGCAAATTAGCAGCTGCAAATGGTGGCTTTAGCTCGTGTCCTGCGTGCACTGAATGATCACGCCCAGCTGCCCAGCCCCGCCTCTGCCAGCGTGAGTCACCTTCTCCACAATTCTTCTTCCTATCAGCCTGATGGGGAGGCCAGGCAGGGGCTGAGTAAGTCGCCCTGAGTCATCCAGGGAACTTCACGGCCAGGCAGATCTCCCAAGAGCCTGGAGCTCCCACGTCCCAGTCCAGTTGTGTCCCCACCATGCCATACTGTCTCTCCACACAACCCCCTTGCATGGCATCAGTCCAGACAAAACATTGACTCGGGGTCCTTTAAAGCTGAAATTGGCCCAACCGCACGGTGGGCCTTCATGTCCCCGGAGCACAACCGAGAGCTTGCTCAGCAGCTCCC